AGATTTATTTCATGGTATTATAGTGTAATTGGGTCCCTCAAAACTATCCCTTAAAATCCTTGGGTTTCTTTTTCAAAACTGTTCATGGGTACAAATATTAAGCCTCTCAGTATCGATACTAGCTACTGGGTATTAATACTAATGACTTATTGAAGGTTGATAATAAAAGGTTGGTATCGATACTCTAGTTTAAGTATCAATACTTTGGTCTGTTGTATCGATACTTTCATGAGTATCGATACCAGATTTTGCTTCAATGATTTGAAAAATACTTAAGTGTTGATACCCCTGTTGGGTTGTATCGATACTCTACCCTTGGTATCGATACCCCTGTTGGGTTGTATCGATACTCTACCCTTGGTATCGATACCCCATGAATATCGATACCACCCTACGAATATCGATACCTCACTTACAGTATCAATACCATTGTATGGGCATCGATACTTCTAAAAATATCGGTATTGTTATTCTAATATTGATACTCATACCCATAAATACCCTATTTTTGGCACGAAAATGCCTCTCCAACACTCTCAAATGTCCTATTGAGATCCCTAAATATTATTAAAGTGCTATGTTTGATAATTGGGGTTATAATAAGTCTGTAAACATGCTATAAACACCCAAACATTGAAATCTACCATGAACATGCTTCATGACTCATGCAAGCTAACAAACTCACCTAGTGATCTACATGCAGTAGAGATGAGTTAGAAATGAGTTACCTTAAGTCTTAAAGTGCTGAGAGCTTCTCCAACTCAACCAAGGGTGAGCTTCTCCTTTCCCTTATACTTGGAGCTTTCTCTAACCTCTCTCACTAAATGAAGAATTAAACAGAAGGATTACTAACATTGCTGGGAAGTTTAAAAAGGAGTTTATAACGTTTCTTGAGGCTTGAATCTAAAAAAATGACCTGATTTCTCTTAGGTTTTTAAAACCCCCACTAACCTCATATTTGATATCCTTAACTAAAACTTGCCATTGATAGCTTGAATTGAAACTTAGACTGAGGAGATTGAAGTTCTTACCTTGATGTTACTAGAAAAGGTTTGGAATGCTACAAAGTGTGCATATTTTTCTCAAAAGTCTAGGGAAGTAATGGAGTTTGAATATGGAGGAAGAAGACAAAGGAAATGGTGAAAATGAGATATGAAGGGGGGTTTCAGACGTGAAGTCATTACCCTTAATGGGAAATTAGCCTTTAAAATAAAAAGGCTAAACTACTCTTTTGGTCGTCATAGTTTTGACTACAAATTAAAAACACCCATTTTCATCACATGTTGGGCCAAAATTAAACTCAACTCAAGGCTAACTTGGTCCATGTCTTCTTACAAAGCTGGTGGATTTATCTAAACCCACTCGGGTTAACCCAAAACTACTAACCCAGGATTCGGGTTTTTACATTATGAGACTCATAATGCTACTCTAGATTAGCGATTATAATGTTGGACTTTGTAAGCTTAGCATTCGAATGTTTTCCATTCGCAGGTCAATATCTTGAGTCGTTGGTGGAGCACCGTCGTAGTAGGACTTCCAGCATCTCCTTCATAGTATTGTACCGTAGCTTTAGTGGGCATATGTATTCATAGAACCTCACTTATGTATTTGAGTTAAAAACCTTATGTTGTATTATTTTTGTTTTAAATTATGAGTCGTGGAACTCTGATTTATAAAATGTTTTATAACCGTTATATATGTGTATTGTAGTACCACGTAGCATGTTTTAAATGAAAATGATCAGGTTTAAAAATCATTGGTTACCTCGGTAGCCCAATGTGAAACTTTAGGCTCGATCAAATTTAGGTGTTACCTAAATTATTTAAAATAAAGGGTAAACTATACAAATGGCCACCTAACTATTGCCAATTTTCATTTTGACCAACACTTTTTTGAAATTTTGTTAATCAGACCACTCAACTATTTAAATGCATTCAATTAAGCTACTTGTCGTTATTCTTTAACGAAGAAGTTGATGTAGTAGTTAAAATTAGGGTTGTAAACGAGCCGAGTCGAGCTCGAGTATCGCTGAGCTCGACTCAACTCGAAAACTCTGAAATGCGACTCGAGTCGAAAACTCTGAAATGCAGCTCGACTCGACTTGAAAACTCGCGAGATTAAAATTTTTAAGCTCGACTCGAACTCGAAATCCTGAATTGAAGCTCGTGAGCAGCTCGAAAAGGCTCGAAATGAAAATAAAAATCTTAAACTTAACTAGATTGAAGCCTCAAACTCAAACTCGAATCTAAACCTTAAATACATGAAAGTCTTACTGTATTTTTTTTAAAAAAATCAACACATAAATGTTAATATTATTAATAATTTATTTTTTTTAAAAATAAAATCTTAATATATTATATTTTCGAGTTGCTCACGAGCTTTTCGAGTCGAGTATCAAGTAGCTCGTTTCGGCTTGTTAAGAATTCGAGTCGAGCTCGAGCTCGAGTCGAGTCCATTCGATCCGAGTATTTATTGAGCCTTGATCTAGTCGATCTCGAGTAGCTCGCGATCTGTCTCGTCTCATTTACAGCCCTAGTTAAAATATTTGATATAATTACACATTTGGTCACTATTACTTATATATTATATCAATTTAGTCATAATTTTAATAAATTAAAACAAACTTAACCCTTAAATCAAATGGTGCCATGTGTCATTAGTGCCAAGTAATGAACATGTATCATATTATGATTAGACAATTAAATTTATTTTAATTTATTTTTAATTTAATATATTTTTCTCACCAATCAGAGGATGACACGTGTTATCCTCTAGATGAAAGAAATTTTTGGACACTTAAATGATATTAGGGGAAACAAACATGGGGTTCTTGGGTTAAAGAAGCAAGACTCAACTATTGAGCCAAAGTAGTTAATTATACCAAATATTTTTACTGCCATATCAACTTCTCCGTTAAATATTAACGACAAGTGGCTCAATTGAATGCGTTGAAATAGTCGAGTGACCTAATTGACAAAATTTAGAAAATGGTGGTCAAAATAAAAATGGATAATAGTTAGGTGTCACTAGTATAGTTTACCCTTTATTTTAAATAATTTACCTTTAAATTTTTAAATAATTTACCTTTAAATTTTTAAATAATTTATAGTTATATGATGAATCTTTTAAAATTTTAAATTTTTATAAATTAAATTCATGATACTATCGGCATTCACTTAACGTCATAGAATTTTCATTTTACCTAATATAATTGTTTGATATATGAAAGGAACAGCCGACGATAATTAATCCAACCTTAAAATCATATTACATAGTTACCTTTTATATCCTTTTGTAGATACGTTGGAAATTATATGACAACTTTTTTGTTGGCATTTACGAAGGGGGAAAAATAACTTTTCAGCATCCCAATAAATTAATTATTTGTTATTAACCGGTGTTGCGTGTATTATAAACTATATAGAGAAAAAGGTGTAGGTTATACATAGGGTGACTATAGTATAAGGTCAAAGATTTTAATCAACGTTTTTATTTTTAATAAATTTAATGATTGAATTTTAGACTTCAATGGATAATAATAATTTCTTAACTAGTAAGATCGATCGGTTCCTACAAAAAATGTATAAGTTTAAATCTTATAGATGATATTATTATTATTTTTGTTTATTTTTTAATAGTTTAAGGTGATAATAAGTTAACATTTGTTTATTCTTTTAGTTATTAATAACATGCATACACTCCGTATAATATGTTTAAAAATTTTTTTAGTTATTAATAATGTGCATACATCTTACAAACATAATTGCTCAAACTCGAAATATCTAGAAAAAAAACAACACTTATTTTTTTATCATTGAGGTCTTCATGTAGATAATATATTAAAAATAATAATTATAAACTGTTAGCATAAATTTTATAATGGAAATAAAAATAATAATGTAAAATTGTGTTATAATGCCTTTTTTGGAATTAAGTATATATATATGGTATGAAAACTGATTAACTGCAAAATGTGTATCATATTAATTAATTAATTATAATAGGAAGCATACAGTATTTAAGCTTCATAAAAAATAATTAAATATAATTTTTGATACCATTGTTTTTCCCCCAAACCAAATCCTTAGAAATAGAATAAAATCTGCAATGGATTCATCCACAGGAGATGAATGATTAAAAAAAACCACATAGGTGTGGTAATATAGCATAGCTTCTCTACACGTATAGGCCTGGTAGGGTTTGGCACTGCAGGTATTGAGGTTGGAAATCTGTAGGTAAACGTGAAACAAGATTCAGCATCTGGATCATGTGCTTTAGAACAAATATTTGAATATCATAATCGTAGATTTCCAGGAACTATGTCCTGTGCACCCATACTAATCATTCTTATCTTCAATTGTTATTACTACCTTATTTAATTAGCTAGTAGTCATTCATATGTTTCAGTAACTATATGCAATAGGAATATATGCTTGTTTAAAAGGCTATGCATGAGGAGTGTGTGAAAACTTCTCCCAATAGATGGGTCAAATAAAAACAAATCTAATAAAAATGGATTAGGAACCTAATTATCCATTGGGCAGGGGCGAGGGCGGTATCATGGCCCCCTAATTATCCATTAGTAAAATTTCACTTTTAGCCCCTCAAATGTTTTTCTGGCTTCTGATTATCTTTGCCCCGAATTAGGTTATAATAAGTGAGGCATTTCTCAATATTCGTAATCTACTCTATATTACCCGTAGCCGTTGTTAGTTTCGGGTTTTGGACTTGTTTATTACGGCGATGATTATCGAAGCCCCAGATCTATAATTAGGGAAAAGAGAGAGAAGCCCAAATAAGGGGGAATGGATCAACCCAGAGCACGAAATGGGAAAGGAAACGATAGCTAAGTAGGTTACGTGGCAGCATCTAAGCACCACGTCACAGTCATCGGGGGACGCGTGTAAGCAAACAAGAAGGTTCCAAATTATTTGAGATTTTTCCAGAGTTTTCTTCTACTTCTATATACATTGATCTCCTCAAGCAGAGAGTTGCTCATTTACAAGTATTTTTTGTATTGACAACTAAAGATTTGCTCTTCTTCTTATTTCTCCCTGCAACAACGGCCAAAAAAAATGAGCGCAGTTGCAGACACAATAACCCATTGGTTTAATTTCCCAGAAAACATCGGAAAAATAATGTTCCCTTTGCGGACTCACGACAGTCGTGAGAACGGGAACAAAGTAAACAGTAGCATTCCGGCCGACATTTTAGACACTCCCAAGGAGATCGTTTTCTATTTAGATGTTCCGGGCTTGTCCAAATCTGATATCCAGGTAATAGATATGAAACCAAAAAAGCTGTCATCAGGGTGTTTTGATTTTTTTTCTTTTTCGGCTGACATTGATCCTTTTCGGTCTGATTTTCAGGTTACTGTTGAAGATGAGAATACTCTGGTTATCAAAAGCGGTGGGAAGAGGAAACGTGAGGAAGTAGAAGAGGAAGAGTGTAAATACTTAAGGCTCGAGAGGAAAGCAGCCCAAAAGCTTATGAGGAAGTTCCGGTTGCCTGAGAATGCTAACTTTTCGGCTATTACGGCTAAATGTGAGAATGGGGTTTTGACTGTGGTGGTCGAGAAGCTTCCTCCGCCTCCAAAGCCTAAAACCGTTGAAGTTGCAATTGCTTGAGATAATGATGAATGCGTGAGGGCGGTGGCCCATGGTTTTTGTTTTAACAAATCAAGTTATTCTATGAAAACAGCAATAGGAGGATGGATATGTTTAGCCGTCGAAGGCTTCCAGGTTTCTCGACTTTGGGAATCAAACCATGTTTGTTGTCTTTGGATGTTGATCCGTGTAGGTACTTTTGTTTGCAATGTAATGTAATTGGGTAGATTTGCGCCTCTTCAGTTATCAGATACATTCGTTATCCACCTTCAGTATTAATCTGTCAATGAGGCTTGACCTCTTTATCAGTGGCGGAGGCACTAATCACAGTAGGGATAAAGTGTATCTCCGTTGTTATAAAAATGGTTAAATTTAGTTTAATGAAAGGAAAAAAGAAAAAAAAATAAAATTTTTATGTATTAAAAAAAAAAGAAAATTAAAATTTTAGATTATCATTCTTAAATTATTCGCCAATACTCTTTATCTTAACAGATTCAAGATGTTATAAGATACTGCTCCAATGTTGAGTTCCATAATGTTTCAATATACAATAAATTGTTCATACTTTATGAATAATCTAGAGTTAGTAAACAGTTTTGAGTATGTAATACGTGGAGCCAGTCAAACATTCCAACCATTTATCGTATGCATCAGTGAGATTGACATCGGTATTCCTGCTAAACAAAGAAAAGCACGGATGGCTCTTCAGCTACGCGGCATATGTGATGGTAAAAGAAAGGTATCCCACTAGCTTTATTGTAGTTTCAATAGAAATATAAGATTATTTTTTTTTAAATATGAAGTAATTAAATCCATCCCTAAATACACGGACTCCCTGCTAGATTAAGGTTCATCTATTGTTCTTCTATTCGTTCCATGTAGAATATGAACTCGTTATAACCGTAATAGCGTTCAATAGCAACGGCCACAATTACAAAAGACTCGAAATGACCGAAAATACATCGCAACTACGATTTGAAATTCGTGTGTTTTTATTAGAACATACGTTTTCCCTCAATATAACAAAAAAATAGGTTACCTTGGGAAAACTCTCAAGGAGGATCTTATGGTTGTTAGTCGCATACCAATCAGGCCATCTATGGCTTTTGCCAACTGTTGCTGCCAGATTCTGAAGTCTACAAGGGATAAAATTTGAAAGCAGATACGGTATTTCCGTAAAAAAGTTAATGACGTACAAGGTACTACAAGCATGCCAATAATGTCAAAAGAAGGAATCATCTATTTTAAGTATTTACGGGAAGAAACCTGTGGCGTTTAACGTTTACAGTCTTTTGCAGACTAGGTTGGTCAAAGATCCAAAAGAAACCACAGAAATCACAGCTATGTACCAGTTCTGCTTCCTTCAAAACCTATCTCCGGCCTGCTTGATTGTATCCCTAGTTGAAATTTACCATGTTGTTCAGGTACCCCTAGTTGAACTTTTTTCATCGGAAGAAATCACAACTCTTTTCTTCTCAGGGCAGTCTCACCAGCGTTAACCTCAACGCAAGTCACAACTCTCACTTCTTTCACAGTTGAATCTCATTTTTTATTTAAACCGAAATGAACTCGCATCCTTTGGATGGGTTCAATTTGGTTGGGAAATATTTTGTCTTGGAGCTACTTCGATGTAAAATTTAGAGGAGTAAGCATATCTCCATGAGTTACCCCAAGTCACAAAGCCCTCCAGAAATTCATCCAGAATATTGAGTTCAGATGCAGTTCGGTACCCTCCCTGAACATATAAAGCAGGCTTGTTAACCAATGGCATAGGAAAATATCACATGGATATATAGGAAACCTAGAAGCCTATGAATAAATTCAAAAATATTGCTTTCGCTTGTAGATAATTTGTATCACGTGTGTGTATACATATATATTGTCGTATCATAATCATATTCAAGTTATGTTATAATTATACTATCAACTTTGATTTGTATCATGTATTTGTATATCGAGTCCCCAAGGAAACAATCTTCGCTTACGGTGTGTGTATATATATATATATATATATATGCTAATAAGAGATTGAATTATGTATTGAAAAATGTTTTAATGCCTAAAGAATTTTTCGTTAAAAATTAATGTCTAACATTTTCTTTGTTAACAACATCATATGTGCGTTTCTCCCCCGCTTTTCTTCTCCCCCTCCCTTGCGACGGCCAAAGATTGACTACCACAAACGACCAAATGGCAAACGACCGATTACCACGATCGATCTAAGGGAATTTTATGGTTTCAAAACCCTAAAACAAAAATTTTCAATTACACCATTTGTGGGCTTTCGATCGGTTGTTAAAGCATGGGGGTTTTGGTCGTGGGTGGTTGGACGACCACAAGTTGTTGGGTGTTCAGCCGATTGACAATGTTGGTGGCGACCGATAATGGCAAAGGGATTAAAATGAATTTTTTTAAAGTTTTGAGTTTTTTTTTAAGATTTGAAAAAAGTTATTTTTTTAAATTATATTTTTTATTTTAAATAAAAATTCTTAAAATTATCAGAATGTGACACATGTCACTTAACAGTGATTTTAACGAATGGTTGACGTCGGGCACCTAAAAATGTAACGAAGAAAACGTTAGGCACCTAAAATGATAATGGAGAAAACGTTAGACATCTATTTTTAACGAAAAATTCTTTAGGTACTAAAATGTTTTTCGAGACAATCACTTATTTTATATTAAACCATATATATATATATATATTATGATGAGCCTCTCTTGGGCATTATTGCAAACGCCCAGCAACTCAGTTCATATAAGTGATGGTTGTTAATCAAATTATAGAAGTGTTATTACCGACCTTTATGCTTGAACCGGACTCACTTGGAGATGTAGTCATACTAACATTTAGTTCAGCACCAATATTTTCAGAAGATAGCCCCGTCGTAGACCTGTGAGCAATAATACAGATTCATGTGATTTCATAAGTCTAACGAAAATTTTTCAAGTGCAAGTAAATTAGGAATATATTTAAAAAAAATAAGAGTAAATTTGGAAAGGTGCCAGACAGCGAGTGTAGGGAGACATAAAAATCCAGAGGGACATGTTGAAAAGTGTTCCAGATTTTATATTCTGGTCTAAATGCTTACGTATTTGTAGCTTCATTCATTTTCTGAAAGAAATTTTCCATCTCTGGTCGAGATGTCTAAAATAGTTTTTTTTTTCTATTCAAGTTTAAACACTATAAATGTGTTCATTCCAGAAGTGAAAGCAATTATTCAACAAATGTACAAGCACCTAAAAGAAAGTAAATAAGAAAGTTCTCCTATGTCATTAGCCTACAGCACAATGACAAATATGTTATTATCTACCTCCCTTTGTTAAATAATCAACAGAAAGAAGATGGCTTTTGCTCAAATTAATGGTGCGGTGTTAGCCGTGAAAGGAAAGAACACATAATTTGACTGATTGGTATAATTGATTTCAGAGAAGAAAAATGTTATCTGAAAAGCATCCCGCATTTTTAAAGTAATCAAACTGAAGATGAATTTGTTTACCTGTCAAATATATCCTCATCACATGAATTTCCTGATGATGAAAGCCATTCCAGATCGAAATTAGTGCAATTACATTCATTGCCATTTTCATCATAATATACCTGGTCCTCTTCTCCGAAAGTTGCCTGCAAACATTCTTGGAGTTAAATTATTTTAAAGATGGTCTGTCATCATAATTCCTAGGTACAGGCACCAATAAATTTCTAAATTTTATATGTTGGCACCTTTAGATGCCAACATTTTAAATCTATGCAAGAACTATAGTCACAGAAGAAATTTTAAGTTGAGAGCTTCTCTTTCATTATATCAACAGACAATCGGTAAGATACTATAACTGGAACAAAATATATACATATACGCACCTGGAATAAGAAATTTCAGACGTTGTGATTTCTGGCGTGGACTCAGAAAGACCATGCAGAGTTTCTCTATTTTCATACAAAGGCTGATGGTGTCCAATATTTGATTCACCCAAGGGAGAGTCCGTTTCAGCGACAATGTTGCCATCTGACGGTGATCTTTTAAAAGATGGCCAACAGATATATTTGAAAATGATCTTATTAACTACTTTTGCAAGAAAGGTTGGGTAAGGATAATAAACGGGGGCATTAAAACATCAAGTCAAAAATATATTTTACCGATCTATAACAAACAGATGAAAGAATATTGGTATCACCAAAAACTTGCACCGTTTAAAGAAAATGCAGTTTTCAAAACAATCATTGTGGTAAAACCATAAAACCTAAAAGATTTTAAAACACAACATCGTCCATAAAACCATCAACATGTTGCTAAACCTCTGCAGATTATGTCTAGAACTAGAATTATTTGGCAGCATATAGTCAGAAGGAAAATTGGAAAACAAGGTATTTGCAATTCAGAGTAGGTTTACAAATACAAGATTGTATATAAAAATATTGCTGAAAACATGCATATTATATCTAGAACTAGAATTATTGGTAGCATGTAGTTAAAAGAAATCTTTGGAATCTGAAGTTTGGTATAACTAGCATTTGCAATTCAGAGATTAGATTTACAGACACAACTTTCAGCACAATAAAATATTGGAAGACATCCTCATATTATATCTAGAATTAAAATTATATGGTGGCATATAGTCTAAAAGAATTACTTGACACAGGAAATTTGGTATAAAAGGTATTTGGAATTCAGAAACTCAATATCCCAAGCATTCTCATTACAAAGATTAGGATCATGCCTTCCCACACAGTAGTGTTGGTCTGAATCCAACTCCCAGAGCGCTGGTTTACCGTCTTGTTGCTGAAAGTTACCCAAAAACCTGCATTGGCTAATGGTTAACCATCACCACCATTAAGAAGTATAAGAGTATTTGATAGCATGAGGTTGTGCTGGACCTTCTATGCCTACCAACGCACCCTAAGTACCATATGTGAAGAACTACAAAATGAAGAACGAGGATCGCTTTTATCTTACAAATTGATGGCACTTTGCTTCTCTGCATCCTTGTATACATTGTTATAATAACGTTGCAAAGTTCTAAGGAACTCCTGGGATTGAGTTGTTGCTTTCCATTGGCCTCTCCTTTGGCAAAATATCTGTTTAACATGAAACTGAAGAGTAAGAAATCGTACTCAGGGCCTTATACCAAAAGGTTTTAGTTCAAGCACTCTGAATCGTACTCAGGGCCTTATACCAAAAGGTTTTAGTTCAAGCACTCTGACACCCGACTAGTAAGCATTATTGTCATGGTACTGGTTCAGCCATTCCAAATTCTTAACACAAGTTCCAAAGTATACTCTGCCATCTTAAAATCCTAAAAGTTA